GAAAATGTAGTTTGTAATCTGAGAAACTTTTCCTTTCACTTCCAGTAGTGAAAATCATGAGGAACTTTCTTGAAAGCAATGCATTCATGCTGGTGCAGTGTCAGGATGAGGGAAGAATCAGATCCTTACTGACTCATCCACTAAATATATATGCCTTCTCTCACTTCAGCAACTGCCCCAGTTATGGATGCAGAGTTAGTTGCTCAAGATGCATATTCCCTGCAGGAAGAGAAGGAAGGACTTGTGATTTAAGCAGGGAGCAGGAAGACAAGAGGTCTGCACATGGTTTTTACACCCAAGACAAACTTAGGACAGTGACTTCATTTATGTGTGCTTTCAGTTGAAGTATAAAAGGGACAGAAATACCTCCTGATCATATTGTAAAAACTAAGTTTATCCATGGGCCAGCTGTTTTGGAGACCAGTGTCATAGATGTGCTTATAAATATATCAAAACTAGCAAGAATCATTGTATATCTAGTTGTTAATGTTCTATCAGTTACTACTTTACCCTGCTATAGATGTACACTGTGGGGCTCAACAAACAACACTAACTTCATAGTTTCAAGATTTTATCTACAACCATGAAAACTAGAAAAATACAATATTTTAATGGAAGCACAGATTCTGGAGTTAATTCCACCTGATAAAATATTTATTAATCAACACTGTGACAGAACCAAAACTGTTTTGATAATTTATGAGTTTCCAACTATTTAAGACATTAAACTTCAATAGTAGTTTCTCCCTGGTACAAAATCCCCCAGTACGGCATTTTTCTATTCTCAAAAAACTTTTGAATTATTCGGGAGAGAAAGTAAAGTAATAATCAGATCCCAAAAGTAAATGCTCTAAAACAGACCCTCTTTAATTAAATTTAACTCAGTCTAATGGAGATGACTGGGAGGGAGGGAAGAGAGGGTAAGAATTTGCAAAAAGTTCTCTATTCCCAATGTTCCTGTCTATTCTTTAAAGTAGTAAAGAATGGCTAGTTTGATAGACATGTCAAAAACAAAAGTAAAATTCCAAAGCTATTCCATTTTCCATGATTCCTGAAATGTTTTCATTCGGGTGACATTTAAAAATTAAAACATTTTGATCAGCTCTACAGACTACCTAGTTTACTTGCAAATCCTCAGAAAATTCAGTTTCATTCATTGACGGCATGGTGCAAATTAAGAGAAAATGAAAATTATATAAAATTAAGAGGATGAATTCTGGCATTGGCTGAAAGGTGAACTATGGGATTGTGACCCAGCCTCCATAACTTATATTAAAGAACTAAAAACAAATTGTTTTAAACTTTATTTCTTAATAAACATAATTTCATGTGAGCATATTAATATGCTCACAATATGGCATGTTTCATAAAGTGATTATCATGAAGTTGTGTCTAAAACATTCCAAATAAAAGCATGCAGATGAAAGTAAGAGTGAATTAAATGGAAGGAGAGAAGATTTTCAGGGACTCACAACAGTCCACCTGGTGACTATGTTTCCATTTTCTTTTGATGTTATACTCTGCAGTGGATGTGAAGATAACTTCATTTCCTGCCCAGTAAGCAAAGAAAGAAAGAAAAAGTCTACTCTCTGTGGGCTGAATTTTGTTGTTCTGTATATTAACATCTGTCAGATGACTGCTGGAATAAGAACACTTCAGCTTCATGGCTTTTTTCCACACTAACAGCTGGTGAGTCACAGGTGCTGGCAAAGGAAACCACCAGCCCTACTGAAATGTACTGGGGAGCTCTTTGTTATTTTAACACCACAGTTGGAAAGTACTTAATTTGCTCTGATTTGAAATGTTCCTTATGGACAAGGTGCTATGTAAACAGCGCTCCCGAAGAGACTCAATTCAATGGGATTTTATTTGCAAATAGAGCAGTTAAAGAAGAAACAACCATACAGTGTCTCTACACTAGCCAGGCTGTTCTGGGTACAGGAGGGTTGCAGTTTTGCCTCATGCTCACATTAGCATTCCACTACTTCTGTTTCAAGAGCATCTGATATCTATCCTAAAGTACATATACTACTCTGTGAAGCAGTGGCTTCTCAGACCATAAAGAGACTTGCTAGGAGAAAAAAAAGGCAAGTTTCAGTATTCTCTTGGAGAAATCCCACAATGCCTCGGCCATTATCTAGACTTTTTCTCAGAATGGAAACCACAATGAATGCTCTGCTGTCACTCCAGCAGGGAAGATCTCTAGACAATGTAGGTAAACAACCCTGGGCATATTAAATGGTTGTCAGGAGGCGATTCTAGCAAAACGTATAAAAAACTAGACCCAGAGGTCATGTTGCCAGAGTTATGGCCTTAATAGGCAGCATCATGCTGTATTTAAGGACAATTTTCAATGGATAGAATGGTATTGTTGATTGAATCCAAACCACAGACGGATTAGATGTTTGACACTGGCTGCATAAGTTCAGAAGGCAGAAGAATTTTTCTGGGTTTTTTTGGTAAGCCAGGCTTAGAACCATAGTGTTACATTAATGTGCGGGCCGGGAGCAATCCGGGCCCTTTTTGTGCTCCGCACGGGCTGTGGCCAGCAGCCCGGGCACGCTGGGTCGGAGAAAACAGGCGGCACGCTAGAATTAGGCACGGACGCTTAATGGTTGATTTAAAGATTGTTTACTTACACCGAAGATGGTCGCAGTGTAGGCTGGAAAACTTGCTTGAGTTGCGGTTACAGATAGAAAAGATGAGAGGTGGACTAGAGTTCCTTCCCGTGAACACTCTTCTAGCCCGTCTGGTTGGAGGCTCTAAACCATGAGCCCGTCGCACCAACCGAAGAAAGTACTTGAGATAGACTCACACGAAGTTTGCTAGGCTCCGTGGATCTTTTTGCGCGCAGGGAGAGGGATACGTCGAGGATTGCGCTCTGCAACGGGGAGAGGCTAGAGGTTGATCAGACCTCTGTTGCCTTCTTGAAATGCGCTGGGTCCGATAGGCTCCGCACCGCTTAGAGATCTTCACAAGAAGGGAAGTCTCCTCCTCCTGGTGTTCGTGGAGTCCTCCAACTTGGGCGGAAACCACTCAAGCTTTTTATACGGCTAGCAAGTCAATCACTAGCCGCCACGTGTGAATAATTTAGAACTAGCCAATGGTGGGGCACAAATTATAATACAAATGGCGGGAACTCTTTGCACCGAGCATTTCTTAGATGCAAAAAGAAATGCACCATGCAAAGAAAGCTACAAATTGGCAGGAAATTCTCCCTTGCACCGGGGTTCTCCTTTACAGCAGAAAACTCCACCGTGCAAAGAAGCTGAAATTTAGCGGGAAAAATAATTTAGCAGTGCCAAAGCACACACAAAACAAAAATCACAACTTTGGGTTGTGACAATTAAAAGAGTGGAAAGTGTGGGGAAAGAGGTTCAGTTGTCCAAAGGAACTACTCTGAAAGTGGGAAGCTGCAGTTGTGATGTAAATTTTCAGAGAAAAAAACTAAACAAAACAAAAAATGCATAGCATGTTGTACTACCCAGGACCAAAAGGTTTCCTGACGACACCAACAAATACCATTGTAAGAGGAGCCATTTTAATTTGGTGGCTGTTCAGTCAGCAATATTTTCCCTTTCAAAAGATAGTCAATGTTAGAGATAGAGCCTTCAAAAAGGCAAAAAAAAAAAAGTAAGTCCCAGATGTCCAGGTTTTAATATATTAACATTTTTGTGACAACATGTAATATGTGCATGGCCCCCTTCCTAGGTTCCTCAAAGCATACATTAAGTCATTTCATCTGCAATAGCAGGGCATTGGCAGTGCCTTCATACCCCCTGTTTTTTCCCATGGCAAATTGTAGAGCTTTCTTGGTGTTTCTGATTTTCTGGTGCATTGTTGTGCCAGCATTTGAACTGGTCATTTGGGGGAAACATTGGGTGCATCTACACACTACTACACTTTAGTTAATGTGCATTAAATCTAGTACTTGTGGGCGCCTGTACATGAGAACAGAGGCTGCTGCAACATGCTGGAATTCCAGTGCGTTGGCGCAAACTCAATTATTGAGTCTGCTCCAGCAGTGTCCTGCCTCTCATGTATCAATGTGAGATGGCAGTGGGGGTGCTTGAAATAAAGTTCATTGAATGAACTTTATTTCAAGTGCCCCCGCTGCCATTTTTAAGCATGGGGGCGCTGATACGCAAGATGCAGTGGTGCTTTTATTAGTGGCTCTTGGAGCCACTCAAATTAAAGCACCACCCTTCCCACCCTCGGAACATATGTTAAAGTGCCCTGTATTGTGAGGTACTAGGAAAATGTGCATTAGCTTGGCTTAATGCACATTTACTAAAGTGCACACTTTAAAAATAATGCTTAATGCACATTAACCTATTTTAATGTGAATTAAGGAAAAGCACATTTTTGGTGATGCTTGTATGCTTATTAAAATAGGCTAATGCACATTAAAGTGCTCATGTAGATGCGCATTGAGTAAACGAATGCCTGCAAATGCAGGGAACAGAAATCAGTGGCCCTGAGGCCCCTTTCCAGTCCAGCATTCATATTTATTGGTGTGCCACATTTTAATTTCTTAGTAGCCTCATTCACCTCAGTTCCTCAAACACTTGGCAATTCTATTTTCTTGGATAAGTTTTTAACCTACGTATAGGACCTATAGGATTAGAACCTATAGATGCTGTAGACTAGGGTCAGTGCATTTTGCCCTGGTATTTCTCAGTGTAAAGATTTCTTGTGTTACATGCATCTATCCAAATGTATTTTTGACCCTATCCTGCTTTTCCTATCTTACTATGTTTGAAAAAGGCCTGGCAGACTCTTGAGAGCACACGGCAGAGGGAAGAGAACTGTGCTACCTTAGAGAACCTGAGGTTTTGTTCCACGTTTGTAAAGAAAAAAAAATTAACATACTGCAAAGTAAAGGAGGAAAATCCATCTGGAGGGTTGGGTGAGAAACCACTTGAACTTAACTCTCAAGGTACTTAATGTCATCAAAACCTTTTGGTCAGATTATTACCTTATATTACTTGGCTGCTTACCTGTTATTCTTTAGGTGGCTGGGGTTAAGATGCGGTAGAGATTTGCAAGAATGGCTCGGGTCTACTCTGACCTAGAGGCAGAAAATCATTATGAAGATATAGATTATTTGGTCCTTAAAAAAACTTGGTGGCCTCTTAACTAATTCAGCTTGTGGGCTGTTACCTATGTTATAAAAACCACCAGCTATTTGGTTGACATTGCAGTGTGGGTTTTCCCTCTCCTTTAAGCTTAATGCAAGATTTAGATTGAATGTGAATAGCGCCACATCCATTTTAACTTTTTGCTAGAAAATTTCTTCTTCAGGTCATGGTGTTCTACTGAGAGAGCCCTGGGAAAGGTTATGTTCATTATAGGCCTGATTTTCAAAATGTGCTAAGCTTTCACAGTTCCCACTGAATTCAGCCAAGGTTGTGGGTGCTCAGCACTTCTGAAAGCACTTATGTGGCCTGTGGGGAATTTAGCATGCCCAGGGTCTCATTATTCAGGAGCTTAAAAACTGAAAGAACAGGGGGAAAAAAAAACAAACCCAAACTTCATAAACATTCATTAAAGTCCATCACCAGTGTCTAAGCAGCACGATAGCATAACAATATGTCAATTGTCACTTTGTAGCATGCAAGTTCTATTCCCAAATTACCCCAGTAACCTACATAACGAAGGAGAAAATGTACAAAGAATTAATATGGCCATCTGGAATGCATAATGTGGAAAGATCTGCAATGAATTACATGGTCTGGAAAGTGGCTGGTCAAATTCCAGAGAGCTAAGATAGACTTCAAAGTCTGGCTGCACATCAGTGAGACTGCTGATCAGCTCAGATATTTCAAGTGGGTGTAGATGAATGAATTTATTACATTTTTTATCTGTTGTGTTCATATGGGAAAACATGACCATAGACAGGTTCTCCATTAATTTCATGCTGGAGTCTATGTTTTTTTAACTACAAATGATACTTATAACAAATTATGTAGTCTCATAACTTTAAAAAAGGTATTTTCCCATCCTTTATTATGTTGCTACATTACAAGGGCAATAGAAATCTGCAGAAAAATATGCCATGACTAAAGTATGCTTTTTGGAACAGGACTTGAGTAATGCAAATAATCTTTTTAAAGGCAGAGCAAGTCATTGTTTTTCATTTCATTAACTGCTCCCCCACCCCCTTAAACTAAACTTAAACACATCTACCATTTGGGCTTGTTCCGTATTTTTAAACCAATCTCCTCCAAATTAATTGCTGGATCTGCTTCTGGTCCAGGTCCAAACATTTCTACTTTGTACTGATTCGATCAAAACAAATGGACCCTAAAAATTATTATCATTATTAGTAGTAGTAGCAGCAATATCGATACTAACGGATGATGATAACAACAACAACAACAACATCATCACAGTCCTCAGAATTTGAGTGTTATACGTTCAAGGAACTGGACATGTTATATGATCATTTTCACCACCAGTGCAATGAGGCAGCCATTCTGTAGGCTGTAATTTTCTGCACTGGGATAAATTACTTTCTTCACCTGCCCAGCTCTCCTATCTTTTTGACAGTTGTAGATATCATAACATGCGCTATAAAGAATGCTTCACTCTGATCCCCGGGGGAATGACTGGATCCGAGCAGGCTATTAAAAACTGTACTACACAGAGCAATTATTCAGACATCCCCATCATTTTTGAGCAGCAAAATAAGTCTATTCATCTCATGTGATACAAAAGTGCTACTCAAAACAAACTCTTACTAAAGTAGTTACCAGGTGGGTTTTTGTACTGGCTTTTTGTCATTCCCCTTTTAACTCCCCAGTGTAGTAGATTTAGATGCTGACTATCAGGTAAACTGTTGAGAGAGTCATTTAATTTATTCATATTTACGTATTTATTTATTTATTTATTTATTTATTTATTAATAAATGTTAGTATAATGCATCCTGCCATATTGTGTACTGAGCAGCAGCAGCAATAGGATAACTTACTAGAGATGTTCCCTGGGCGACTGTTTGTTTATATTTCTCAAATGTTATCTTTTAAAGGACAACACCATAACCCTAACTCTTGAGCAATGCAATGAGCCATCCTCCAGCAATACAGGCATACATGCTGAAGCAGGTAACAAGCCTTTCCCCTCACCACCAGAACTGCCAATCTATAAATATGCCCATATAGCATTATAGAAGCCATACAGCCTTCAGCATTATAGAAGTATTTGGTAACCATGCACCTGTATTTGCATTTGGTAACCAAGCACTACTGCACACAGAGGCATGCAAGAAACCATCTACCCCACCAAGTGCCCAGCTCCCTCCAAGATCCTTCTTCCCACTTCCCCTTCTGGGCAGAAGAATGAGGAGCTTAGAAATATGATTGTGGGAAACAATAATACAGCTTTGATCATTTCTCCCCCTTCCTTCAGTATTAAAGTTCCCTGGATGGCATAAATTAATGTTCTGGTTGGGTTTACTAGTGGACCTAGGCAATCAGGACTCATAGTACAGATGATATCTTTTATTAGACCAACAAGATTTTTGCAAAAAAACCCCAAAAACTTTAATGGCAAGCTTTCGGGCACAAACACCCTTCATCAGGCATCGGAGAAAAGATTGTAAAAGTTCTCCTGGGTAGAAATGAAAGTTCATATTTTATAGGATTTCACAGAGTCATCACATGGAAAACTCCTCCAGGCAGTCAGTTCACAGCTAGTGATGGACCTGGTCCTTTTCCCTTTAGAGTCAATGGGCATTTTGGCTTATAACATGATTTGATGACTGAAGCAGCATCTGGAGGAGCAACAGCCACTTCTGAACACAGGCAGGCTTTTGCCCTGACAAGTGAAGAGCTAGTTAAAGGCAGATGGCATGCAGGACATGTAGGTGAATTTAACACAGATGCATCTGCCCCGTCATCATCCTTCTTGAAAATTTTCATAGATTTCATAGACATTAGGGCTGGAAGGGACCTCGGAAGATCATCGAGTCCAGCCCCCTGCCCAAGGGCAGGAAGTCAGCTGGGGTCATAGGATCCCAGCAAGATAAGCATCCAGTTTCACCTTGAAGGTGTTCAATGAAGACGCTTAAACGACCTCCGGTGGCAGGCTGTTCCAGACCTTGGGGGCTCGGACTGTAAAGAAATTCTTCCTTATGTCCAGCCTGAAACGATCTTGAAGTAGTTTGTGACCATTCGACCTCGTCATCCCTTGGGGCGCTCTGGTGAACAAACGTTCCCCCAGATGCTGGTGGTCACCCCTGATAAACTTGTAGGTGGCCACCAGATTGCCCCTGAGCCTGCGCTTTTTCAGGCTAAAGAGCCCCAGGGCTCTCAGCCTGTCATCGTAGGGTCTGCTTCCCTGACCTCTGATCATGCGCGTGGCTCTTCTCTGGACTCTCTCAAGCTTCTCCACATCCTTTTTGAATTGTGGAGCCCAAAACTGGACACCGTACTCCAGCTGCGGCCTCACTAAGGCCAAGTACAGGGGGAGAATGACGTCCCGGGATTTGCTTGAGAAGCATCTATGGATGCAAGCCAGCGTTTTGGTCGCTTTACT